GCAATGTTTCCCTTTTTCCAGCCTCCAGGAACCTCACCTGACTGCCAGGACTTTCCAAATATCATGGAGAGAGGCTTGGGATCTATATCAGCCAATTCCCTCATGACTCTGGGATGCATCTCATTAGGTCCCATAGACTTGTGCATGTTCAGGTTCCTCAGATGGTCTCGAACATGATCTTCTCTTACAGTGGGAGGGACTTTGCTTCTCCAGTCCCTGTCTTGCCATCCATCCCCTTGAGTGGTGTGGGAAGAAACACTGCCAGTGAAGACTGAGGGAAAGAAGTTGCTGAGTACCTTAGCCTTCTCCTCGTCCGTTGTTGCCAGTCTGCCAGCCTTGCTCATCAAGGGGGGTACGCTTTCTCTGACCTTCCTTTTCTGGCTGATGTACCTATAGAATATAATAGTGTTGTATTTTTATTAGAATACTAGTATTATTAGTATACTGATAATGTAGTGGTTTTTTCATAGTTGTTCAAAATTCATAAAAGTGATCTTTAGAATGGAAACCTTTTCCCCAAGGCAATTTCACAATGAAATCCCTCCTTAAGAAAGGGCTATGGCCTTTATGAAGCTAATATTTGAGTTGCTGTATTTTTGATAAACATTATGGAAGAATTGTAAAATTACATTGTGGTTGTGAGACAGGCTGTTGTCTTTTTAAAGAGGTCAACCTTAAATAGACTGTGGGTGGGGAGAACACTTTGCCATATTTCTGGTGTTTGGCACTGAAAATAATTTATTTTTTTCACTCCTGCATATTTTTGCTAAATGGATCTCTTGACTTAGATGAATCATACTAAGTACCTTTAGAGTTGTCTGTGCAGGCTGGTTTTGGTTTTCATCTATAAAATTAATTACTTCCAGTGGGAGTTCCTATTAGAAAAGCATGGAGATTTTTAAAGTACATCTTTTATTCTGAAGATTTTTTCCTGTCTTTTTTCTTTTCTTTGCTCATAGCAAACTTTCCTAGTGTGACCTATGAATAAATTGGAAAACTAACTTCACTTATAAATTTTTCCATATCCCTTATGAATCTGTATGTACTTGGAGGTTTGTAGTTCCTCAAACAGTATTGCTTATGTATTGCTTATGCTCTTAAAACTGATTTCCTAATTTTTTTTTTCCATTTTATTTTACTGAAACTGAAGTATCTTTTTAGATTTTTAAAGAAATATCTTTAATGGCACTTGTACGTTGGCTTTTTTTTTAACTATATCCTGCATTTTCATCATGCAGAGTAACAGTTTTTATTTTTAGATTTTTTTTTTGTACTCGCGTTTAGTCCTGCAAGGGAATGAGGTGTTACAACAAAAATCCCAACAGTTTCTAAATGCTGAGTTTTTGCCATTAGTCTTGTGATATACAGATACATACGTACAGAAAACTGACAGATGACAGTATCTCCTGAAATTATGGTGAGGAAAAGTTGCCGTGATAAAACTTATGGTAGAAGGTCTCTTAGAAGAATGTTTATTGCCTTGCCTATTGAGGATCAGCGTGCATACTTACTCTTGTGTGAGGTATCACAAAAATAGTGGGTAATGGCAGTGGATTCATCGTGCTTCTGTACAAACCATATGTTTATTTTTTTTCCCTCACAGTTCAGAAGGCGAAGTATCCTTGGACTAACTGAATTCTGCTGTTTCTATTTGTTTTGGTGCCTGTCTGCTAATTTATAGTTTAGTGTCTATTTATATTTATAAAGCTATTGCATTAAAGAAGATAATCATGGCTTAATTAAGAGCTATTGCTTTAAGGTCTCTTTTGAAAGATCCTGTTGCTTTAAATCTTTCTGAAGCTGGAGAATAAATTCTTGAAGAGCTGAGTTGTAGTGCTTACTTGAAACCTTACTTCTCTTAACCTTGTGAAAAAGGAAGGGAACTGTTTTGAGAGGCTCGGAACATTTTGAAAAACTTGCTAAATGTTGTGCTGACATATGATGCTTGTGTGCCAAGTTTCTCAGCTGAATTGTCTGGTGACTCTGACTTTTGCCTGCCACATGTTACACAGAGTTTCTGTGAAGTAAAACATAACCATGGCTAAGAGAAAAATATAAAATCATAGATGTAAGTGTATGCTCTTAGCAACCAATTGATAGAGTTTTACTGATGCCCACTGGTAAAAACTTGGGAATGGATTCTCTTCATTTGCATTCTAACCTTCCAGATCTTAGTATTCAATTTTTCAGGTCCTTTTAGATTTTTCTCCCTCCGTTTACCCAGGAAAGCTAAATTTTCACTTTAAAAAACATTTGAGGATAACATTAGCGCAATTGCAAGAACTACAGCTGTGATTAAAAATACAAACTGTTGTGGGATTTTTGGCATTGTACGCTGTTATCATTACTGTTTTATTTCCTGCTCTGTCTGCTAAAAGTAGATGTGGGCGGTGATTTTAATGTTGCATTGAGAGAATGTGATATTGAGCTGTGTGAACATGTAGCAGGTAATAAAAGGCTGGATCATTTAATAACAGTTTTTTGTTTTTTTTTAATAAAAGACTCCAAAAACATTTATATGATGCCAACCATTTTGCTATTTTTAGCAGCTTATTCCAGTAATTTGGTTTCACATATGTCAAGTGCAAACAGTACATTCCAGATTACAAGACACTCTGGCTCAGGACTTCCCTTTCTTTTAAGAGGAGGGAGAGGTTGGTTTATTTATTTATTTTTATAATTCTGTGAACAAGTCCCAGCATCTAAGAGGCAAACTGAAACGTCTTGGACTTGACAGTTTTATGATTAATGCAGCGCAAGCCAGCGCTGCGGGTGAAAGGGGCGTACTGCTGCTGCTTTTGTGCTGGCGCCCTGGGTCGTTGGAGAAGTGCTCTGCTTGAACGCTGAACAGCCTCTGCCAGGGGAGCGTTCAGCCAGGGCAGCTCCTGGTTCCAGGTCGTTACGTGGCTGCACAGCCTACACTTCTGGACAAAAGCGAAGGTGGGAATGAGCAGTGGCAGTATGAGGAGGGACCTCGTAACAGAAGCACCAATTTAATATGAGACTAAGTTGGAGCCATTACCCCTGCATTTCATGCTGTCTTGCTTACCTGTAAAGGGCTTTATCACTAATTTCCTGTTGTTTATGACAGTTAAAAGGGTAAACTCCTGCAAGTTCTGTAGCTGCAAGTGATTTGTAAGCTTCACAAAGCTTACAGATGGCTATGCAGTAACTTTCTCGTTCCTCGGGAGACCTAGGCACTGAACTCCTGACAAACTGAATAAACCTTTTATTCTTCCAATTGATACAACATCCATATATTTTAGGCCTGAAAACTCAGTACGTGAATAGCTGTCCCATGGCTTTCCCCTTTTCAGGGGAGCCAAACACTTCTGTGTTTGCCCTATAAAAGCTGTTAGCAAGAGTGTTTAGAGAACACTGTGGTGATGTTGTGAAAAGCATTGTGGAAAAATATTTCAGAGGGGAAGAGTCTTTTAAAGGTACTCTTCTTTCAGGTTTGAAAGGATTTGAAAAGTAATTTCAGTGTCAGAAAATAAAAAATTGAGTTAGTTGGAGCACAGAGCGTATTTGCATGAAGTTATTTCCCTTCCCCTCCCTACTTTCATCTTGTTGCAATATAGTGGTTGGCAACTAAGTTGCATTATCTTATGCTGAGGTTTCTTAGTAAGCATGCAGGATGAATAAGTGATTTTTTCCTTCAGCTGAGTGCTCAGAAAACTTTTGATAACAAGTTTTAGAAGTCTTGTAAGTGTGAAGATGGAAAATACCTTTTCAGTATAATTGCAGTAAGAAAGAGCAGGATAAGAACAGGAGGAGAAACCAGATTGCAGGGAAGAGGATTATACTGTGTCCACCAAACCACCTTTCTGTTAGCAGGGGCTAATGTTTCTGCAGTTATCAGACTAGGATATTCTAAATAGAAGAAGCTTTCCAGTTTTGTTGCACTTGCTATTTGGTAATATCCAGGGACCACCACTCCTTGGTAAGTTAGACCTTGGCAGCTGTGGCAGTCCTGTTTTCAAAGATGCGAACCAGACTTTCATTCTCGGTTAGGTTTCTGGATCCCCAGAAATCTGGTGATGGAAACATGGGGATCTAAAAGAAGGTAGTCCCTAGCTCTCTGAAGGAGTGTAACAGTATTCAGGTTTATTGCTTGGCAGCTACGGTTTAAGTATTTCTCACTCAACTTTTAAAAAGATAAGTATTTCATGAGATCAAGTACTTGAAACTGAACTTGTGATATTTGAGCATAGTCTGTCAGCTAGTTTTGCTCTTAATATAAACTTGCATTTCACTGCTTTAAAATGATATACTTAGTGAACATCGCTGGCATTGGGAGAACAACTCTTTCCAGATCTGGAATGTGCAGTTGAGCAGTGATGTATACGGCCTGATCAGCTGATGAAATGTGGGTTTGGATGTGTGATTTTTGTAAATGACTTCCAGATGTTACAGTTGCCAGCTGAATGTCTCAAGACTGCACTGTTAGGTCTAGATTATGAAACAAAATGGATGAAATGTGCAGAAGATAAACTAGTAAGTCTATACTTGGAATTGTTCTCTCAAAAAAACCCCAAAACCAACCAACCAAAAAAACCCACAACCCAGCACGATTCTGTAGTCAAATTACTCACTAAGCAATGGCAGAAAAATATAGATGCTTTTAGTTAGGGGTACCTGCACTAATTCATAGCCTGTGAAGAGCTTGAATGGTCTAATAGCTAACACAAGCAATTTTCTGTGTAGCTGCTGTGTTAGGAGCTTTGAGTTCTTCTTTATCTCAAACTTCCTCATGCTAAAACATGACTGTTACGGTGCTAGAGCTGAAATCAAATTACTGACAATACTATCTTTTTGAGCAGCAGAAATCAAAGTTTGTTTTGGAGTTTCCCTAGAATTTTTATGAAATCTTTATGTAGGAATGTTTTTATTTGCAAAAATGTCTTTAAAGTTTTTAAGTCCTCACACTCGTTGAGGGGAAATGTTTAGCTTGAAAACAGAGTGTTTGACTTCTTTTTCTTTATTTTCCTCAGGAAGTACTGATATAACCATGATAGAAGACAAAGGTCCACGAGTGGCTGACTATTTTGTAGTGGCAGGGCTCACTGATACAGATACTGCAACCCTTCTGGACCAAGAAATAAGTCGACATGAAACAAAGTCAACTGGTCCAAAGGCTCCAATTACTGACATTGCTGTGATAATTAAATCAGCTGGTGAAACTGTCCCAGAGGGATACACCTGTGTTGAAGCCACCCCTACAGCCCTCCAAGCCAACTTAAACTATGGAAGTCTAAAGAGTCCTGAACTTTTTCTTTGCTACAAGAGAGGCCGGGACAAACCACCTCTTACTGACATCGGGTGAGATTTCTATAGCAATTCAGTTTGTCCTTCAATAATGATCAAATCTTACTCTTCATAGATGGTGATGAAAACAAACGTGAGAAAATGTTTGAAAACATATTGTCTTTGAATTTATATTGCTTATTGTGTTTATCTGTGTAGCATTTTCTTTCTGGAATATATTGAAAAAAGTGTCAGTCTTCTAGTGAACTTGTCTTTTTAAAATTAATAATAAAGTTTTAACTTAAAACGGAATGATATATTTATAAAGAGAGAGATAGGTGGAGAAAATCAAATATGAGAAATGAAGTTCTCTGCTGTGGTTACATGAAAGGGAAGAGAATAGTAGAAAATTAATTTATAGAAATATTATAGTGCAAATCCAAGAGTGTAACATGCTTAATCTGAAAGTGATGACTGCAGAAGACAAAAATTATGACTTTGTGGAATCATTTTAATGCTTAAGGTAAAAGATACCACTTAAAAATGGTAGGACACTGAAACATAGATATTAAAATTATCCACCTACCGGGAATCTTGTAGCCTGCCTTACTGTCAGATCACAGTATTTGTGAGGTTGCTTACAAGTTCTGACATGATTGGCTGCAAACACTGGATTATGTGGTCTCTTGGCAACTCTAATCATGCTTGTATTTTAAAACCAATGCTTTTTGACATCTGAAAGTTCCCGAGGAGTTACTAGTACTGTGTTTGAAAACCTTAGATATAGTCAATGCTTTGAGGTCAATGCTTAATAAATGCAGGAGGCAACCTGGCAAGGAAGCTCTGAACTAATTTTGTTACCTATAGAATACTGAGTTTACTGTAAGTATTCAGGACCAAGATCACAAAATCCCCCAAGATCTTGAGGTGGTGAATATTATAGTCTGTGCTACTAGCATATTAAGGTAATGACCAATCTGTAATAACTCATGCAGCACTACAGTACTGTCTAAATTGCTCCATATAGCACTTCTACATCTCTGATTTGGATAAGGATGTTGTAGAAATACTGGGAATGTAATGAGAAAGAAAAAATGGAGCATGGGTGCGGGGAACTGTTACAATAATGGCAAAATAAGGTATGTGTGTGTTTTTTCCTCATTATTAAATAAATAAAGTAAAAAACATACATCTACATGTAAGGTATAATAAGTTTAGTTAATTTCTTTATGAAAAATGAAAGCACATCAGGCACAATGTCTGCATACCCCCTTTTTGACCTACAGTTTTAGTGCCAACTGATAAGTAGAGTCCAGTCATGAAGAAACTGATAGTGAAATCTTTGTAATGAAATTAGTTATATGGCAAGATCTCTGCTCTAAGGATTATAGTTCAAGTTGTATAATTAACCTGGTACATTCTAACTTCAGTTAATCTCGATCATGTAGACTATGTTCTAATAATCTTCAGTGAAACTGTGATTTTTGTTTTTTTTAAATAGTCTTTTCCCATGTGTGTGAGTGACACTACAAGATGAGATAACTGTTACAATTGGATTTGACTGTGTAGAATCAGAGTATAAAGTTATTCTTTGAAGGATACATCAAACTTCAGTAAGTTTTAGAAGGAAGATTTTCTAGAAGGAGTGATTCCTCAAAGGGATTCCTAAACCATCAGTCTTCAGTGTGTGTCTTCATGAAACAACTCTGCTAGCACATGTTCATTTTCAAGTCTCCCATAACTTTATGAACTTGAATGCTTGGGTAGGTTTCCTAGGGAATACCTGATAATCAAAAAAGGCAATTAATTGGCTGACTAAGGCCTTCCCTGGCAGAGACACTTTTAAAAACTATTGGTGGAAAACTGTGGTGTTTGGCAAGTAGTACTTATGCTATATTTTGTTTTACACAGACCTAGTTAGGGTGTCACACCTAACAAATCATGGCAGGCTTTTCTCTCTGAGCAATGATGCATATGAATGTTTTCCCCCTGCTGCTTTACAACTATGCGCAAGAGATGGTTAGAGCAAGCTTCTTTTTTTTCCTTTTTTTTTTTTTTTTTGGTTAATTTCAGCATGTTCGAATGAAAGTGGAGTTTGGGCAAGAGATGTAGGTACAGTCTGAATGCTAATTTATGCTGTTCTCTACTCTTTAAATTTAAGAATGAAGTGTGAAAGAATATTTTATCTTTGACCTTAAATATCCATTAAGTCAGCTGACATGCTGAGGGGACTTAGTAGGTAGGGGAAGAGTATATCCTTTGGAAGGGTCAAATCCATAGTCTTCTGTCAAGGTTGTTAACAGATAAAGTTGAGTTATCTTGTAGCCCGAGCATTCAGAGGATTCTTGATAAAGGGGGGTGTGTGTGTGCATTTCTTTCAGGGCTATTTTTAGGGAGAGTAGTTAAACAAATACTGTTTGGAGGAAGGGGGAGATAGGGATACGCTCTACTGATTCCCTGCCATTGTCCTTGCGTTTTGTATTTCTGTGCCTTCCATCCTCTTTCCTTCCTATTCTTCCACTGGTTCTTAAGTTGAAGTGCCTGTAGGCTGCTGGAGTGGCTTCCTGCTGCAGGCGCTCGCTTGCATATAGCTAGGCCATGTGCCATGCCTCTGGATGTTGCATTTGTGTGGCTGTTTTTTAGTTAGAAGAATAAAGGTTTGATCCTAGGACAAGAGATCTCTAAGGTTCCTTTCACACGTATAGCTGTAAAATTTAGTATCTTAAGCTTACATGCCTATAGATAATTCAGCTACCAGCTGTTCTGTTGCTTTCCTAACCAATATTTTTGCTAATGTTCCAGACATAGACAAGAACTGAGACTTGAGATTTGTTTTGGTTTAGGTGCAGCGAGACTTTGAAACAAGATCTCACCTCTTTGTTTTACGCTTGAGTTAGTAATATGGGAGAGCACCACCACTTTTTTCTTAAATGGAAGAAAAGACAACAGAAAAATGCTTTTTAAGTGTAAGTGGTTTTGCAATTTGTAACACTTACTGTAGAAAGGACCAAGCAAAGTGTATCAGACTTCTTGTCTGAAGTAGAGGTTCATGTATTACTGAGTAATGCAAAAGTAAGGTTACTTGCATTGTGTAAGTAAAGAAATACAGACTTTTTTTTTTTTTTTAACCAGTATGGGAAGTTTTAGTTTGGTTAGTGGCTCTGTGCCAGGGACCCATCTCATTCTGCATACCTGGTTTCTGAAAAGATCTGCAGGAGTGTCAATTGAACAAATGTTTTTCTTTACTAGAGATGTATTTCAAAAAGGAAAGTGAACTCAAATTTCAAGAAGCGTAATAGAAACTGGAAGATGTTCTTAACAGCCAGCATCTTCCATTGTTTCTTAAATCCTACCAGTGTGACAACTGCTGTCGGAGCTGTTTGGAGCAGCTTAGGATAATAATGATGAAACTAATCACTTGAATGTTTAGACAAACAATAATAGTGGTGGCAGTAGAAATAAAAGGTAAGTCATTTTTTTTTTCTCTGCTTGACCTAATGCTTCTCCTCTGACCCTCTTTGTATATTTATTTTTTAATATTTTTTATTATTTAATACATGCGTACTGCCTTCTCTTAAATGAGATAGGAGGAGATAAAGAGTTATTTTGCATAAGGACTGTGAGAGGCAGAAATGTCGTTGGACCTAGAGGAGAAGTCAAGCTGGAGAGCAGCCCCACACAATGCAATTTGCAACAGTCGCCTATTTTGAAATGGTTTTCCAGAAGCAGTCTTTTCTGTGGTTTAAGGTTTTTAACTCAACAACTGCAAGAAGGTAGTATTTATCTTTTCTGAACTCTGTTATCTGATGTATTGAATTATACTTTTAAATCAGTAAAACTGGTCATAAGAGAACTTAAATGTACAATGTGAAACAGCCTTATGAAGAGATAAGATTTTTTGACCTTTCTTTTAAAGAAAGGGCCTACCATCTAGAGGAAACTGTAGGTTACATTTTGCTTGAAATGAAACTTTATGGAAGTTGGTAGAATAATGTAGCAAATGAGGTGTACTTAGGATTGAGGCCAAAGTATAAGCTCATAGAAGCAGGAAACAAGTCTTATCCTGATCGGTGCTAATTAATCAAAGGCAGACACTGGGAAGTTGAAACAAGTAGGAGTAAACCTATTCTCTCAGGGAGGACTTTATATATACAAGGTGTCACATTAAATATTTCATGCATTGCTTCTGAATGTTTTTGTCTGAATCATTAAAATCATTGTTTAATTTGAGTGATCCATGGGTGGTGGTTTTCTTTTGTTTTCTTAAATTCAGTACTCTGCACAGGAAATGGTGTGGGTTTAATAATACTTCTGCTGGTATATATGTAGGAGTGAGAGTTGCTTTCATTTTCTTTTTCTTTTAATGGGAGGTGACCCCACTGTTACAGTCTTGAACACTGATCAGCTCCTCTTAGAAGTATTTGCACAGCTGAGAAATTCATCGGTCTTCAAGTATCTTTCTGAGAATACTTGTAAAACTGTTAAATTGAACTACTGGAATTGTCTGATTAGTATGGTTTTCCTTCTCAAAAGCTGTCAACTGGCAAATGTTTCTGAAATAACTTTAAATTCTTGGATTTTATTTAAAATGCTTGAAATTGAAACAAAACTGAACTAAAACTTCCATTGGAGACTGCTCTGTTAATATTGTTTTTCTGTTAATGTAAGGCAGTGATGTGAAGAGTTCAGGTAAACTCTTTATGCACAATGAAGGTGGACTGAGAGCTGCCATTGTTGTAGTTGTTGGTTTTGTGTTTGATATTTGGTGTTTTGTTGTGGGTTTTTTTAAGTTTACCAAGAAGGTAACTCCAATAAAAAGAGCAAAAACCATGCTCTTCCAGAAGATTATTTAGTTTGGAGGCAATTTGAATAGCATGTGCTTTCTCTATGTGTATCTTGAACCAGTAGGTAGTACATTAAAATGAATGTTGTAACTTGGAAATACTGGTTTTGAACCAGAGGTTACACACTGTTTTAAATGTAGCGAAACTGTGATGATCAGACCCTTTACAACTGAAACCATTGTTGAAGGCAAGAATATTGTCCTCCATGAACTAGCTGAATAAATTTATATGGCAACCTGGTTGCTACATCAATATACTCCGAACTCATGTGATTTCTTTGCTTTATTAATGTATTCTAGGACTAGCTGACATATATCCTCAATACTATGACAAGATACAAGTTTGTTCTGTGGAATCAGAATAAACAGTAATATTTGCATATTCCAGTTTAAAGATGGACAGTAGTATTTAAGTAATTTGGGAAGTTTAATGGTATATTTTCTTTTTAAAAGTTCTGAGAATTGTTGGATCTGGAAAAGGACTATTTTTTTTTTAGCTTATACTTATGACTTTTTGAAGTTTTCAAAAGCATACTTTACTAAGAGTCTGTAAAAAAATTTAACCAAGGGTATTTTGGGGCAGTAATAGATATATTGACTGGTTATTTTTTATTTTCAAGTAAAGTTGTGATGGTCTACATGTGACAAGCTGCAGGTCACAAAATGCAAAGTTTTAATGTGCTACCTTTACGGTAAATCTTGCCATGTATTGTAAAGATGAAAACTCATTTAAGGTGGCAAGTACTCTGCACATACTGTAGAGAATCAAGCAAATGGAGCCATTGCTTATTTGGGTGTGGCATGGGCAAGCACAAGTTTTATACTTGTGCTGTCATAGCATCTGTGCATTAAAAATATGCAGTGATGTATGGTTTAACTTCCACGTTTCTTGTCTAGGTCACTTCCTAATAGCTTTATGGTTGGAAAAGGTCAGAGTATAAAGTTTTAGCTCATTTAGCTGCTGTGAAGAATCTTTCTTTTTTTGCTAAGAATATCATGATCTAAACTAATGATCTGGCTAAAAAATCCAGGTACCATGTGACTGTTGCTGTACGGCAACGTAATATATATTCTGCTTTCTAGGAGTATGGTCAACTGTAGTTATTTCTTCCTTTTCTGTGGAATGGAGTATAATTTTGTCTCCCTCTCACTCCCCCTTCCTTTAAGGAACGTTATTCAAACTATGAATGTAAATCATTACTGGGTTTGGGGTTTTTTTCTATAAAAATTCATCTAGGAAGCAGACTTCTGTCATCTTTGGTTCTTTTCCAACAACATTCCCTAAAAAAAAAAAAAAGCAAGCTTGAAATGACTTTCCAGACATTTTGGTGGTGGAAATAATTTCTAAGAAATTATCAGGTATCATGTGTGCAAGCAATTTAAAGCTTCTTTTGTATTTAATTTCCATTGCTAGTGCAGCATTCCTACTAATTCTATAACTAAATCCTTTCCAGTGTGGCTTGATTTTGATTTTCCATAACTGATTTGCTCCCACAGAGATTTCTTACAATATTTTAATATTTCCGAACAGTTTCTTTGCCTCAAATCATGCACGACAAAAGACAATATAGAAAATGCACATTAGAATGTTGCAATGATGACATAGGTTGCTAATGGATGGACAATTTCTGTGAATTTGTCCAAGTAACTTCATATATATTTGAATGTGCATAATATTTTGTTTCTCTCCTGTCTGCAGAGTTCTATATGAAGGGAAGGAACGCATCATTTCAGGCTGCGAGGTGATTCAAGCTACTCCTTATGGTCGTTGTGCTAATGTTAACAACAGTTCAGCTTCTTCTCAACGGATCTTTATCACATATCGAAGGGCTCCTCCAATACGACCTCAAAATTCATTGGCAGTGACGGATATCTGTGTTATAGTTACCAGCAAAGGAGAAACCCCTCCTCATACATTCTGCAAAGTTGATAAGAATTTAAACTGTGGTATGGTGAGTATTTAAAAGTCTGAATCTCTCTTTTAATTATTTTTTTAAACCCAACAAACAAACCCAAAGGAGTAGCTCTTTGAACTCTTCCTGGCACTGTTACTGTGTTCTATCACTACATCATAATTCTTTCATTCTATACACCATGTGTGAGGCTTCAGTTTTGCAGGTTTTGTTGCTCTGATTTCCTTTGGTGTTAGGACTGACGTTTTCATACTGATTACTCACTACTTCAGTTTGCATATTCATGTCTAGGTGTTATTTAGGAATAGTGCAATGGAATTTTTTATTATTATTATTATTTATTATCATCATCATCATCCCCCCTTTTGTGATGCTGACACTAAGGATGAATCACAAATGCTTTTTTCTTAGTTATTAATAATACCTCTGTTACTAAGACATCTAAGAATGATAATTACTGCTTACATATTCTTCATGTACTTTTTTTTTTCATTCAGTTCACTTTTGTTTAGTCTGTTTTGCATTTAGTTTACTCAGGCTGAAATAAGTGATATTTTTCAAATGATAGAGTGTATTTAGACAAACTGCAAAAATACTATGTAAATAACAAGCTTATGGAAGTATGATAAAAACTTCTAAACACTGATGGTGTTTAGAATTTCACTTCCACTGATGAGGTTGCCATAAGAGTCTCCTTTTAAATAACCAAGAAAATGTGAAGCTGCAAATGATCTGCTTCACTTTTCCCTGTTCCTCTGTTGGAATAAGTCAGAGTAGTGTGGTGGTGTGATTATTTTATGTAAATAATCTCTAAAAAATGTGAGAAAGGTGAATTCTCAATTTCATGATTTACATGCATTTGGCAGCCAACCAGTCCTTTTATTCTGTAATGTTTTTTATTTAAATGTCTGCCTTTTTTTTAAGTGGAAGCATATTCAAATGCTTATACTTAATTTCTCTGGTGCCTGTTGTCATCTTTGCTGGTTCTAAGGTGAAACTTGTGTCTTCCAGTGGGGTTCCAGTGTATACCTTTGTTACAAGAAGTCAGTGCCAGCTTCTAACTCTTTAGCATATAAAGCTGGTAAGTAATTTTAGAACCAGACTGTCTAAACATGCTAAGAGAAGCATTCAAATGCCTTGTTGTATTCAAATAATAATTTTAAAAGCTTAAGTGCTGTCTGTCAGAATTCTGTTCCTAGAGCATGTCAATTGAAATCAACTCTTACAATGCCGCCTTTGCTCTCGTCACTTCTTGCCATGGAAAAAAAAAAAGCGCCTCAATAGGAATAGCATTGTTCTGTATTAATTTAGTTCTTATCATGATAGGTTTGGTAGCTTAGGACCTTTAGCAGAAAGCTTAGCAAGCATTTCAGATGTAACAAAAGACTTCATATTTCTTTTGTTGGTGATGATGGAAAACAAGTAATTTAAAAATTCCATTCAACCTTACTCATGTTTCTTTTTATGTCTCACAGCTAATGCAACATCTTTCTTTTAATTTGAAAGTTAAATGTGTTTCTTTCCTTCAGTTCCACAGCTAGACACTTGTTTCTTATTTGAGAAAAGAGAAAAATATTCTGAACAATAAATGACAAAAAGTCTTTTAAGTCTGGCTTTTGTAATTTTTTTAATGCATTGCTAGAGATTTTTTTTCCTGAAGAAGTAAAAAAAAAACTTACAGAAGAGTTTCTGCTGAGCACAGAGTGCACCAAATTCCTTTGAAAGGAGTAAACTACCAAATAGAAGTGGAAAGCATAGATAATGAAGTCAGTGTACCATAAAATAAAATAGATGAACAACAGCAGTAAATGAACGCTTGTGTGCCTATTTTCTACCACCAAGTTAGATGTGTTTCTGAAAAATGAATTAAAAATTTGTTTAAATTGAGCTTATTGACTGGTTAGCAGAAAATGTGGATAGTCAGCTAATTCATCCTATTTTCAGTTGAGGTTTTGCTCCTGTTTTTACAGGAGTTAAGTTATCACTTTCTTCATAGGAATTTCTTTGTAATAAAATCCAATCCAATGGCACACTTAAATAGCACAGGTAATTCCCAACTGGTTTAAAGTAAAAATCTTCACTAATTAGTTTTTACTCTGTACTGTTTTTTGAGCAGTTACCAAAAGGGAGTGCTGCAGTATTCGTGCACAATTTTTAAAAGAGTGATGTATGACTTAGTCTTACTGTCAAATGAGAGACTTTATTCTTCCAAAGGTGTAATCTTCAGGTATAAAGTCCAGATAACCAACAGACTTTGCTGTATATTGTGGAAAATATATTGCTTACATTATTTAGAGCTTACAGAGCAAATGTGCTTACTTTTCCTTTTCCTATTCTGAAGGCTTAATTTTCAGATATCCTCAAGAGAATTATGAGTCATTCCCACTGTCGGAATCTGTACCTCTCTTCTGCCTTCCTATGGGAGCTACTATTGAGTGCTGGGACCCGCAAACCAAATATCCACTACCGGTGTTCTCAACATTTGTACTGACCTGCTCTTCTGCAGAAAAGGTGTGGTTCCACACTGTATCTAGTTTTTGCTTTTAGTTCAAATGGCTATTATGGAGATAAATAGGCATTGTTTCTTCTGTGTTTGAGAAATATTACAAAATAAGTTGTTAAATACTTCCCTTATAAAATTGTATTTCTTAAGACTTCATGTAAGACAGAAGTAAACCAAAACAAGAAATAGCAGGAAACGTATGTGCTGTTTAGTCCCATGTAAGCTGAAACATACACTTAACAAAACCAAAACTCACAGCACATGGATTTCCCTGTTCTTTCAAGTAAGAATTTTCTGGGAATGGAAATGTAGCCTGCATGTAAGAGATGTTAGTTTGTCACATGTGTTAGCAATGTTTAAGTTGTTACGGTTTTCCTATGGTTACCCTGAAAGCCACTTCTGTGTGAATTTGTGTAATTGGGCTCTGTAGGTATCTGTGCTGCAATAGGAAAATAGTTACCAGAAAAGAGCAGGGCGGGACGAAGAAAAGTATGTGCTGAGAGGCAGCATGTGAAAAGCTCTGAAAAACTGATGAGTTCCTGAGACCAGTGATCCTGTTGAATTCATGTGAAGTGATAGATTCAGAACACCAGCCATGTGCTGAATCTGTATAAGTCCACCAGCACACACGGGCACCAAAAATATGTTGCATGACTCAGCCCACACATGAGAAGGCAGTGTCAGCTATACACAGACAGAGACTACAGGATTATAGGTACACCTGATGAAGCAAGGGAGCCTTGTTTGGGGTTGGTCTCCCACCTGTTGCTTCAGCTTGCCAACTGTCTGTGTGTGAAGTGCGTGAGGGAATAAGAGATTGTAACGTGTGATTAGCAGCCTATGACTAATAAACAGCAGTTTGGATCTATTAGTGATAACAGCTCAACTTCCACTCAGCCTCAGTCCCCTATCAGGGAAATTTACTTACTTCTCCATTTCCAAACAACAAACGAAGCCTTTCTCCAATATATTAATACTTCTCTTGAAAGGAGGAGTGCAGTAGCTGCCAGTACTTTCCTCCAAGAGAATGTATACTGTGGTAGCCATCTTTCCTTTTGCTAAGCTTGCCAGAATAATTCAGTTAATTATGAAACTCTGAAAAGCAGGGAAAGAATAACTAGTGATAGGAAGAGGGGAAATGGCCTCAAGTTGCGTCACGGGAGGTTTAGATTGGATATTAGGAAAAATGTCTTCACCGAGAGGGTGGTCAAGAATTGGAACAGGTTGCCCAGGGAGGTGGTGGAGTCACCATCTCTGGAAGCGTTCAAAAAAACGTGTGGATATGGCACTTCAGGACATGGTTTAGGGGACATGGTGGCGCTGGATTAATGGTTGGACTTGATGATCTTGAAGGTCCTTCCCAACCTTAGTGATTCAGTGAATATTAGAAAAGGCCAGTAGCTGTTTAGCTTGAAACAAGGATCTAAAACAATTATAATGTTTTAGCATGTGTTACTAATCAACTGTAAGTTTTGCAGATTTCTTAATATATGGAAGGTTATTGATTAGGTGATTAGTTTGACTTTAGTATAGGATTCTTTAGCCTAATAACTGTGTGATTATGTTTAACGGCCTACTCTCACAGTCCTTAGGCTGTATTTCCTCAATGCTAACATTGTAACTATGTGTGGACAGTTAATCACAAGGAAAGCAGGCGTCATGAAAATTAAAACAAAGAAGAGTTAAGAGCAAGGACTGAGAGATTAAAGAGAACAGAGAAGATATCTTAACCTTGAGCATAGAGACAGACTTGCAGGAGTGCTCAAACAAGGATGACAAGAAGGAACCACTTGGCTGGACAACAGAAGGTGCAAACATCCAAGGAGAAGAGATTATCCTCAAGAGACCCTTGACCATAAATGGGAAAAAGGAGTAGGGGGCTAACTCCCCAAACGACCACCGATGACCACCTGAGACCCCCGCGCATGCGTAGTGTAGTTTTGCAACGCCAGCATTATGTAAATGTAGTAGATAAGCAAGGAGGCGGTGATTTCTTGGAAAATGTGTGAATATTCATGTCTTTAAGGTGTATAAAGGATGAACTTTTTTTTCAGCGCATGCATGTTAGCAGGTGATATCCCCCATGCTTCCAGCGCTGCAATAAAGATATCTGCTTAATAACACTTTGATGTTATTAAGTTTAAATTTTTTTAACTTTTTTGAATCAAGCTTGATGAAAATGAAGTCAAGGCTAAAATAATTCTATTGTTTAGTGTGGTAATGATAGAGGAATTTACTGAACACAAGCATTTCATGAGTGGGGTGGATTTTGTTGGGTTTTTTTAATTAATTTTTGACCATAAGGTTTAATGGATAGAATTTTGTCACAGCATACAGTTTGGCTCCTTCCCTTTTAATTTACAGAGCATGAATACTTTGAGAAAAGTGCAGTGAAAAAGTGGGAGAGAGGCACAAGGGTCCAGAGCATTTAATTTATAAGGATACTTTGTGTATGTTACATAAATGAAAAGTCATTTCACAAACTACCAGCAAAAGCGCTATAGTATGCGTTCAAACACCAAAGATTTCAGGATGCTTCAAAAGTTCTAACGCAATCTCCTGTTAAATACTGGCTCTGCTCAGCTGTTTTTTCTTCAACTTTTAGGTATATGGTGCTGCTATTCAGTTTTATGAGCCTTATCCCCGGGAGCTCCTCACAGAAAAACAGCAATTGCAGCTAGGTCTCCTGACAGCTGTAGAGAGGAAAGTGGTTACTTCCAAATCCATCAATTCCAACAAGTGCATCTGCCTTCTCTCACGCTGGCCTTTCTTCGAAGCATTTCGAAAATTTCTTATGTTCATCTACAAACTCTCTGTCTCTGGACCTCATCCTCTTCCCATTGAAAAGTACGTAAAACATTTTTCAAGTTAATGTGGGAAGATAGTTCTATCGGCTCAAGAAGTCACGTGATTTATATGTGTCACACACACTTAGTTCGTATAGTTGCTCCATTCTCTTGCTTGCACTGTGTAGCTTATCTTGTACAGATAGAAATTATTGCTGCTTCTGTTCAACAGTAGTGGCTCTTGCAGTGCCAGGAAAGTGAACTGGATTTTGTTGTGGCTTTTCTGTTTGAATATGTCAAACCTGGTTATCTTTATCTTAACTACATCAAACACAGAAAATGGCTGAGCTATTAAATAGATGCTAACATTTGCAGTCCTGCTTTTTAGATCAATAAATGTAAGCTCAGGGACTCTGTGCGTTAGCAATGACTATCTGTGTCTGTTTCCAAGCACTGCAACTAATGCAGGTATTGTGTGTGTGTGTGTGTGTTTGTGTAAACTTTGTAAAGGATGCTTTTCATGGAAATACGGTGTTACCTTCAAAACTGTATTGGACGTCTGGCAGTGAAGTATATACTTTCTCTTAGCTAAGCCTCATTAGAAACTCCATAGAATGGGCTTAGGCTGCCTGGGGTTTTAAATGGCTTTCATAAATGCTGGTGCGTTCTTATCTTTTGCATACATATCGGAAGCTGCCAGTATTAATTTTCATGCATGAAATGTGAGTGAATGAAGCTTCTTTGTTTCAGTTTGCTTAGACAGGCTCTTGAACTTATCAACACAGTAAATAAATCTTAACAGCCTTTCTAAAACATGGTACCACAGTAATTCCACAATGTGTTTCAGTCCCTAACTAGTCCCCAGTGCTGGTTTTCTAAAATCTTGTCTTCTTTTCAGGCACATATCCCATTTTATGCACAATATACCTTTCCCTTCACCACAAAGGCCAAGAATTCTTGTGCAGGTAAGGAAAACACTTTCTTCCATTTTTAGTTGCAGTAATGGCAAAACCTTTTTCTTGCTTTTGAAAGCCTGTTTTTTTCCTTTAGGCTTTTTACTCAGCTTTGAATACCCATGTGCTGGAAGGGAGAGGGGAGGACATGGGTGGGTTGGCCTTCTCTTTCATTGATGGAAACCTGGGGTAACTTAGCAAAGGAAATTATTTCAGAATTTAGATGGCGTGGATGGCAGCAGCATCCTACCTGAACTTTTGAAATTTCTGCCGTATATTACCCTTTCATTTTATAAGCACCATTTGAATTACCTTTGGGGGATGGAGTTGGTGTGTTTTTTCTGTCTTTCTCTCACTTGTCCACCCACTACTGTGGGTCAGAGGTTAGTCCCCCGGGGCACTGTCTCTTGTGCTTCTCTGTTTAATCACCTAGCAGCAGTTACATGTTCAACACTGAGTCACAGACAATTTCCTGTAACTTCTGAGAATTGTTTCAGTGACTAATACAAGCTCTGTTGACCTAGTGAACACAATTCCCAAAGATTGTCTTTGTGTCTTTTGCATAATGTTGTGACTCTGTGTGCCAGGCAGTTTATGAGACTATGGGTATACATTTATATTGGAATATTATACTGTATTAACTTTGGAGTTGTCCTTATCAATCACATACTACTTTATGTGTTTCAGCTTTCTGCCCATGATGCATTAATACTGTCCCAGCCAGTTTCAACACCATTGCCATTAAGGTATCATAATTAATGCTTTAAATGTGTGCTACTTGAAAAACTCAGAGGTGAATAGGAATGAGTCATAGAAGGAAGCCAAACATTACTGCAATATTATTAGATCTTATAAACAGAAAGCTCAATACGTATTTATAATATTAAACAGTGTTGCCTTTTTGACGTAGACCTGTCCCTTGTGGAAGAGTAATATCACTAATTATCCTGAAATAAGAATGAATTGCCAGATTATTGTAGGAACTCTGAAGAAATAAGAAGCAGGATGTGAGGAAAAAAATCTGTATTTAAATAGCTTGTATTTTCAGAACCAGTGTACTAAGCAAAAATTTTTTGAAAAGCATAGATAGACTGTTTGTTATCTTGGTTTTTTTCCCTTTTGGGACCCAAGAGAGACATTTACATCAAGCAGTTATGTGAAATCAGTGAATGCACTAGTGTGCAAACATTTCAGACATTCAAAATTATACCTAAAAATTGGTATATTGCATGAAGGTTGATGCAGTCTCTGTGGATACTACCTGCATCCTCTGGGCTGGAGCTTCCTATGATTGTGATGTGGGCTTTTGTTTGGATGATTTTGTTGATATTTTTTTTTTGTTTATTTGTTTGTTTTTAAGATAAAAATGAAAATATCATCCCTTTTAAAATTTTTTCCTCATTAAACATTATCAGATAATAGTCTGTATGCAGAAGAATTGCATTTTTAATCACATTTCTTACACAGCGTCTTAAGTAAAAAATTGCAGCAAGCCACCAAACTGCAAAGTAACATGTAAGCACTTTTCTAAGGACAGATTTTACACCCCTGTGCTCTTACAGATGTCATTACAATTCCTAAATGTGTGCAGTCTAAACAAATAAAATGCAGTCTAAACGGTAGAAACTAAAGGCATATTGCTATCAGAATGGTGCATTGATTTTACTTGACTACTATTAGAACTTGATACTGTGATTCTAAGATCAAATGGATTCTCTGGTTCATTATTTTTGCCTAAGGTAACACATCATATGAAACTACTGGTGTTATTTGTGCTTGAATTAGTTGCTAACCAGTTAGATCAGTTTTACTGTTATATGCACAGGCATCTTGTCCTCATATGAGAGAGAGCACCATAAACAACACAAACTCAGCAGTAGCATGGCATAGCATATGTTTCTTTAGGAACAGAACTTGAATTTCGGTTTCTTTGTGGCAGTACAAGTGTCATATTAAGGTGATATCTACCTGTCTGTCTAATAGCTATTTGATACGTGGTAATATTAGTACCACTCAACTAGTTAGTCCCAAACAGAAGTTTGATAGTACTGACTTTATTTTTTTAATCCTGTAACATTCTTATTCTCTTCCCCCTTCCCACCCACTTCTTAGTGGAGCAAACTTTAGCACTCTGCTCATGAATCTTGGACCGGAAAACTGTGCCACTCTGTTACTCTTTGTGTTACTAGAAGGCAAGATCCTCCTCCATTCTCTTCGACCAGCTGTGTTGACAGGAGTTGCTGAAGCTGTAGTAGCTGTAAGTACAAAGTGTTCTGTACAGCAGTAAATGAAATCAGTTCAAACTCCACAGTTGTTACAAGGCTTTTTTAAGTTAAATTCATTCATGCACTAAATGATAATTTTTCTCAGCAATATGATTTAATTACAGTGCCCTAGCATGTCTCATAACTATTGGAATGATCAACATTTTTGCATAGATAACTAAGAGATGTGCTGTAAATAAGTGGTCAAACTTGAAGACTCTTTTCTGACAGTGTTGCAAGGCTTTTGGCAATTTAATTTCAACTTACTGCATGTAACTTCTTGGGTTTTAGTGTAAAATATCTGTTGTCTTGTTTTAATGCATTGATTTCATGTAATTTTCCCTTCAGATGATCTTTCCATTTCAGTGGCAATGTCCATATATACCCCTCTGTCCTTTGTCTCTGGCCACCGTACTCAGTGCACCTGTTCCATTTATCGTTGGAGTTGATTCACGGTACTTTGATTTGTACGATCCACCACAGGATATTGTGTGCATTGACTTAGACACAAACATGGTGTACATGTAAGTTTATGGAGTTTTTACATTTATCTATAGATGGAGAGATTGCTGAAATGTTCAGGAGATAGAACTATTAAACACTGTGTTATCCAGTATGATTAGTTTCTTACTGTCCTTCGTTCTTTTTCTCATTTCTAATCCTTCACAGCAAATTAAAACTAAGTCATGGGTCAACACTTGGTGCTGCCTATAAAAATGTCATGCAGGTATTAATGTAAATTTATAGTACACAATGGTAATGTGTTCTGGTTTGTTTTTCCACTTCTAGTACTGCTTATTAGGGAAGTAGGACAAAAGCTAGAAAAGAGGAAGAAGAGTTGTGGGGTTTTTTTTTCTCTGCCCCACCATTTCTTACATTTTCACCTTGACCTACCGCTTTTGAATTTCATTTGCCTGTGTTCAATGACTATTGGCATGAATGTGGGCGCTTCAGGACCCTTCATGACAGCTTTTGATGCTGTCTTCCACTCAGCAACTTCATGCTAATATTAAAGAAATTTTTCTCAAATTAAAAGGGCCAAATTTCTGGTGAGATCAATCAAGCAAAATTTGATGTCTTGACTACATTCAGTCTAAAATATTTTCACTTAATTATATGCTTTTAATGCTTTTCTCAAATTGAAGGTATTGCATGAACAGTTTCTTTGTACTTTTTGAGGAGAGGCTAATTCAGAGTAACTTCTTTTTTTCTGTAATATATCTAAATGAGAGTACAGCTAACAGACTTGAAAATTCAGTTGTTTCAAGTGTTTAATTTAGTAACTTTATTAATTATCTTTCTATTTTAAATTGATTAGATCATAAATAGAAAGAGGCTTTTAAACTAGTTCAAGATGAGGGTGAATATCACTACATAAAGTGCACATCTTTTCTCTGTGCCAATATAGTTTTACTTCATCTCATGCCACTTTTTAACTCTTGACTTTTGTTTTTGCTAACTTGAGTTAGAATTAGTAATTTGATATATAGGTCTGTTGAATTGTTTCTTGGTTTTCCTTGTGTCAAAAAGACTCTTCATCTACTGAAGCAAATGTTTCTTTTACATTACTGAAGTACTTTGTTTTATTAGTAGCATTAAAGGAAACAGTAAACAATGGAGCACATTGTGTTTATTTTTTTTTCTCCTACCCTTAGTTCCCCATTAAAAACACTCAAAAAGCATTTTCATTACTGTATATCAAAGTGTTATGCCACCAAAAGAATAATTATAATAGGTGTTGTGAAAGAAGAATGTATTGAAGAAACTCAAGGAAGATAACTTGTTTATATGAAGATATTTGCAGTGAAAAATACCTGAATTTTTTTTGTTCATAACTAGAATAGAAACTGAAGACTAGATTGCAGAAAAATGAAGGAGGTAGAAACGGTATTTAGAAGGGAGATAAGGTTGTCAAGATTCCATTGGGATGACTGCTAGAAAAAACAAGTACCAACCTTACTTGGACTGGTTACTGAACTAAAAATCTACCAGTGGCTGACCTCTTATAAGGCACTTAACTGGAAAGACTTTTGAATCTTTTCTCTTACTGTCTTATAAGTCTATTTGTCTTTCAATAGTCAACTGATCTTTTTTTTGCTACCCATTTTGCATGTATCTCATCTGTACCACTTATTTGACTACCAGAGGAATTTAACATCTGTAACATTTGATTTGGGTAAATGAGAAGTGTTGCTACCTGCATTATGAAACTTCTTTAACCTGGAAATGAAGATATTTTTCAGTTTCCAAGATGTGTAGGTAAAACTAATTCTCCATAAAGCACTTTGTGTTGAAGACCATACCGAATTCTAAAATACTATGTTATTAGTGAGTAAAGATTTATGTTACATTTTATTTTATCCACATATGTTTCTGCCCCTCTTTATTTCTGTGGCAGTGTTTCTGCCCCTCTTTATTTCTGTGACAACGTTTCTGCCCCTCTTTATTTCTTTGGCAATGCTGCTTTTGGGTTTTTTTTAGGTATAAAAGCATTCAACAGCACTGTTGCTAACTTTGAAAGACTGCAAAGAATGACTCTTTCTTTCTAGATGTGAGATTTGAAACCCTTAATATTTTCTGGTACATCAGTCTGTCTAGTGTGTTTTTAGAGCAAGTTTGCTGCTATCTTTCTTATGATAGACTGAAGCTTTATTTACTGCTGAAAAGTACTGAAGGCCTTTTATTCATTCAGCATCTTCCGTAATGCCTTTTTTTTTTTTCCCCCAACTATCTCTGTGAAATTAACATTGAAAGCTGGTTAAAGAAAGTAGCAATTTTAGGGCAGAGGTTTGAGAGTTTGTTTTATTTTTATAGCAGGATTTTTTTCCTTCTGGTCTTTTTGGAAAAGTACCATTTATAGACATGCTGTTTTGGTGGGGGAAATATGGGCAAAGGCATCCATGAGCATGCATTTTTTTCTTTAACTCCTGAAACTTTGGCTTCCCTCCTAAGATAGTTCTATGTTGATGCCACTTGAGCAAATAATAATTGAAGAAACTTTTAACTGATGCAAGTGCAAAACAAACAGTGACAGCATGAGCTTGGATACTAATAACTGATTAGGTCTTCTGGCCACAAGGTTTGTTGTACTCTCTGTTACAGCAATTCTCCCTCACCTCTGCCTTCTAGAAAGGCATTTAATCCCTACTCTCTCTTAATATCCAACTGCTTAAATAAGGTTTGGCATTGTACCTGTTGTCCTTCTAACAAAGATGAGCATCCCTTTAGGCTGATTTACCCCCTTGTTTAATCAACCACATAATTTTCAAACTGTGAACTGAATTCCCAATCTTCCTAGTCCCTGCTAGCCTGTGGCTGAAGCCAGAACTGAGTTGCCATAGACATGTTAGAGTGTACCATAGGACCATAAAGCTATCAGACTAGTCTTCCAGCATTTCGCAGTACCAAGTACCTGTTGTATTCCAGACTGTATTTGTATTGGTAGCAGTATAGCAGGTTTATGGTAGTATAGACTTTGCATAGTAATCACAGACAGATGAGTGTTCTGAAATCATATTAGCCAGACTGATAAAAATTCTGATAGTGAAATCAGCTAAGTGAAACTTCAACTAAAAAGTCTAAATCAAATCTTAATGCAGATCCTCCTTACAGACTGGAGAAAACTCTACTCATAACTCAATTTATACTGTTCTGTATCTGAGGAACTGAAATGCTGAGTTATGTCACTCCCTTTTTTTAATTTTTGACAAATAGGGACAGTGACAAGATTTCTTTTAAAAATAATTTATTGTTTTTAGTTACTGTGTTCTGAAAATGAAGCAACTTAGGGCTGTGGAAGCTATTATTTTTTTTAATATGGTCTGTATTTTTATATATCCTGTGTTTTAGATCAGATGATAAGAAGAGCACCAGCTGGAAGCAATTTCCTAAGAAGCCATGTAAAAGTCTGCTCAGCACTTTAAAGAAATTGCACCCACAACTGGCAGCAGGTGAAATATGTAAAATAAAATGGGAAGGTGTAAGAACAGAAACTGCCTAAAGCAGGGAAAGTAAATATTCAAAGAAAATTACGTTTTCTGATACACACCTACAAGTCTTAAATAATAATTAGTATGTAAATGTAAGGACTTCCTTCTATCATATGTGGTATGTATTGGTTTTTTATACCTTTATTTTCTTTGCTGTGGCTTCTTAAAATTTGAGTTGGTTTTTTTTAGCCTTTATTCATGATTAATTTATATTTAAACAAAGCTTCAGCTAAAATGTGTTTAGATCTCAACCTAAAACAATATTCACAGTTCTGATCAAAAATAATAGAGAAAATGGGGGTATGAGTGAAATAACATCGAATATCTCAGCTATTGTGCAGATACTGCTGAATACCTCAGATAATGACTTTTCTGCAAAAATAATCAAGTAGCTAAATTTTGACAAAGTATTTTGTCAAAAGAAAAAGCAAAACTGACCATCTTCAGCCTGATGACTTGGACAGGTAAGAGCAAAGCTGTAGCTGACCTAACAGTTTTCAGGTATTGCTTCTTTCTGACTGAAGGTAGTCTCTTTGTTAAGCTCATTCAGAGTATGTTAGGTTGCATCATGATGGAGAAGGAGACAATGAGAGCCTCATATGTATACAAAATGTACAAAATTTGTAAATTATGGAAACAGAAGGGTGCATTAATTAAGAGGTAGGTGTTCTTGCCTCAATTTTTTTTTTTTTTTTTTTGGATAGCCTTTACTTCATCTATTAGAAAACCTCAACTTTTCTTTTGGTTTTATCAGCAGGGTACATCATGCAATCTACCTAATATAGAACTACTTCCTAATTTTAACTTGAGCAGAACCAGTAGTCTTTTTTAGATAGTTTAGATAGTTCTTCTATTTTGGCAATATTATAATCGTTATCTTATAATACTTATTTATGTATACATATTACTCCAATTAATAATTTTGTTCTAATAAAAAGTGTAAAACTATAACTTTCAGCAGTACCTGCTACTATTTTTTTAAGAATGTAAACTCTGAATGTCACCTACTTGGTTTCTGGCCTTTGGTGCATTAAAATGTTAGAATTTTGATTAGAAAAATAGTTTTAGGCCCTCTCTGAAGACTGCATATCTAGAAAGGACAGGGAAAACATGTTTGTGTTAATACATTACTGAAAGACCACATTCAGTTGGGTATGTGGTAACATTAACTTAACTGAGATCCTCCTCCTTGTTTCATGTCCCAGAGGGCTGGATGAGTTAAAAAAGCATATAATCAGCTCTTGAGGTAACCTGCCTTTTATATGGGCCAGATCAATTGGAAAATAATCACAGGATTTCTAGTGTTTGTCACTTCTGAATATGGGCAAGTAGAAAAAAAGAAAGATCAGTTTTCAGTGTCTTGAGAAAAGTTAGCTCTCTTGAATGCGCTGAATTTTAACATAGGACTGTATGTGTTGCTCATTGCTAGTTCACAGGAAAACTCAAGAAGGCTCTGCAGTGGAGATGACTCCTATTGAGGCAGATTTCTCCTGGCAAAAGAAGATGATAGAACTTGAGATGGAGATCCAGGAAGCTTTTCTCCGTTTCATGGCATCTATTTTAAAGGGTTACAGAACGTTCCTCAAGCCAATCACACAGGCACCTTCAAATAAAGCAACTGCTGCTGATTCCTTGTTTGATCATCAAGGTGAGGGTGAGGCAAACCAGTTGCTGATAGCATTGGCAGTATTACAACTTTAGGGTTGAGGAGCTGCTTAAGTTTAAAAGGTCAAAGTTCCCTTTGGTTATACAGTTTTTGGCAATATTTAAAACTGCAATTGTATAAAGTTAAACTATTCAAAGTTGATTAGAACACAGATATATGCACATAGAACTGCAATTTTGCAATAGTTTTGGTATTAGAAAAGCTATCTTTCAGTAGCATGATGCCCTCTCTGTGTGGCATAATCCATAAGGGCGGCTCTTGGGAATGAAAAAATATTTCTCAATTTGTACAAAGAAAAAATGCCAGAAGTGCAGTAATGAAAAATAATGTTCTTCATATAGATGGGAAGACAATAGAGAACAGGGCAGAGATCGGAAACATAACAAAACAATAGTCAGCAAAGGTTATCTTATTTTGCTCATCATCTTAACTTTTCAGATCTGTTAATGAGTTGAATGCTAGATAAAATGTCTCAAGTGTTTTGTTTTATATGTGGTGGTGGTATTTGGAGGTTAATTTCTTTTGTTTGAGGTTGGTTGTGGTGTTTTTTTTTCCAATTACTGGAAGAGAGATTTAAGAGGCGATTTTTAGTCAAAGTTTGGAAAGTCTTAAATATTTTAAAACCCATCACCTCTTACAATTACATAATTTTTATTTTAGTATCATTTTAACTGTTAGATACTTCTGCTTTTGTACAAGGTCATCATCTCCTTTTTCTTGCATAAAAAGTCAACATATACAGTGAGGACATGAGGGTAACTGCTTGCCAAGTATTGTTAACTATGGTGAAAAATAATTATTAAAAATACCTGCTGTTTTAATCTTCTAAGTGTAAGTAGTGATAAGTGGTTGGTTTTATTGATAACACAAATACTTTATGTGTTAGCACTTAAATATTTAATGTTGACACTTTATATGTTCATTTCTTATGGAACTCATAACTGGTATTTAGTTGTGTGTTCCTTTCTATAACCAGGGTTTTTAAAAAGCAGAGACCGTGCCTATACAAAGTTCTACACGCATCTCACCAAAACGCAGATATTCAGCCGCTTTATTGAAGAGTGCAGTTTTGTGAGTGACAAAGATACTGGCTTGGCATTTTTTGATGACTGCATAGAAAAGGTGAAAAACATGTAGCAATACTATTAAATTACATGCTTCTATTCATTTTGTGTTATTGTCCCAGTTTTTAGCTTTAAAGGTGGATACCCTTTGCGGCAAGTGTTTTGAGGGATTGGAATTCTTGGTGGTTATTGCTGAGTCATTTTCTTCCTTCATCTTCTTGCAGGGTTATAATTTTCTGCATTGATGGAGGAAACTTTCCTTAAAGTCCTGTAGGACATCAAGCTATAAGATACTGTGAGAAGTACCAGTAGCTGACGCTTTAGCACAATGCCATTGTGGAATTGTCTATCAGTGATCATCTGCGTTGTGCTCTTTTTTTTTTTTCCACAGAATTGAAACTTAAAACACAAAATCATGCCTAGTGCTCCACTTGTGGTCAAAACTCATTTATGTAGATAAGATCCCCTTTCTGTATTTTATATGAGAAAGATTGCTGTAACCTATTGTTGTTTTTTGAAACAAAGTCTCTTCAGCTTGGTTCTTGTCTAGATGGGTTTATAGCTTCATCTGTAAAATGGTAAGTTCACAATATAAAAATTAGTAGCAAGAGAATTGTATGTATTTTTTTAAGTTGTATATAGATGATTCTTTCTGGACAGAACCGTAATTTTCATACCAAGCTCTTACAGAATGAGTCTTTGATTCAATATTGATTCTGATTAACACTTGTAAACAGACCACAAAATAAATGTTGAAAAGTTTCTTTGTCTTTATTTTTCTTTCTGCTGAGTATGGGGTATGCATCTAGACAATGCATCTAGAGTATACTTTGTTTAATATTGTTAATAATTTAAAATAGTTGCAGGTTTTTAATGTGTTGCATACTTAAATTGGCATATTGAAAATATCTGCAAAGCAGCAGTTCCTTTCAATTAAACTAAATGAAAGCACTTTCCTTTGATTTAGGATTTTGTATTTAATAGATAATGTCAACCAATTGAAAGCATGCAGATTACTGCATGTTCTTACTTTTAGCGAAGGAAGTATTTGAAAAAGAGATTAATTGCTTCTACAGTAATATGAGAATTTAGTGTTTCCTATTTAATATTTCAGTAAATGACACAGCTTTAACAGAATTATTTAGGACTTTTTTTCAGTTGAGAAGAAACTCTAATTTTTTTTTTTTTTCTTTTCCCAGCTCTTTCCAGATAAAGGAACAGAAAAAGGAGAGAAGGTACATTGTCCTTCAGAATGTTTAGGGATATCTGACCATGAAATAAAAATGGAAAGACAAGGCTGTGGACTTGAGTAATTAGAACAAATAGAATTTATTTGATATATACCATATTTGATTTTATATATAATATATATAAAAATATTTTTATATATACTAACATAATTAATGTTAAAAAGGATATTTTATCCCAAAGCCAAACTCTGTACTTAGGGTACAAACTCTGTTTTCAGGTTGATGTAGATTCCATTGAAGATGCACGGTTGATTGAGCTTGATGAGTCACAAAAAAGTGAACACACAGTGTTCATAATGCCACCAGAACCTCCTGCTGATGATGGACAGGACCGAGTGCCAAAATACAGGTACAAGTTAAACAGCCACATGTAGTTAAACGAGAATGCTTCTTGTGTTAAGCAGGCCAGATGTTCGTCCTGGTGCAAGACTTGCCATAATATAATGTTCAGAAGAATCTTTATAACTGCCCAGATTCTGTTAAGTTTCTGAAGCTCTAGAAGTCAATGGTTTTTGTGTGTATATGTTTAGGGGAATGTGGATTTTTGTTTTAATTTTTCAGTAACTTCTTGTCAACTTTATAGTAATACTTCTCTACATGTATTCAGTGTCCTTTCTGTTTGAGCCATTTATGTGTATTTTGTAGCAAATGTAGTGTACTTTGTTTCATAGTGGGAATGTCTGGGGGTGGATAACAGATCTGCCCAGTACTATTGATCTGCAGCTGATGAACCAAAAGAATAAAACAGCCACTCCACTTTTCAGACTTCTTTCATTCAGTGTTTTTCACCTCTGTGCAGGAAGTGTGGAGTTTCAGGCACTCTGAGTATGATTTTTCTTCTTCCTGTCTCTTTTGGAGGTCATGAAGTTTGTTTCCAACTGTTGTCCCTGTTAATGATCATCGGTGCTTCCCTGACCTTCATGATACAGATGGCAGTCTGGTTCTTGTTTCCTTTGTCTATGGAGATTTGATGTACAAGGCATCTTCTCTTGTGATATCTTTGTGAATAAGATTAAAAGGATCTTGCTATCTTATTTCCTTTCTTTTTTTGTCCCTTGGTTCTTTATTCTCCTGTTTGTCAGTACTTTGCATACAAGTTGTCTTTGTATGGCTTTCCTGCTATCAGCAGGTATGTGAAAAGCTTTTCTGTGTTTTGTTTTTTTTTTACTATCTATATAGCTATAAAAACTTCCCACGACTAGATTTCAAGCTTTTTGACAGGCCACAGGAGCTCAAGCTCTCCTTCAGCAGACACCCAGCTGGAAGCAGCATTTCAAATAGTCCAGCACTCATGGCAAAGAGGACAAAACAGGTCAGATGAGTCTTACTGTAATCACTGTGTGAACACTGAAAGATATGAAGTTTTTTGGTAAAATGGCCACTACCTATTTATACTGTAAGTTAATATTGTTAGAGGTTAGGTCTTTGTAACTATTGAGAGTCAAAACTTAAGAAAGAAAGAAACAGGAAGCAACAAATAAACAAATTAGCATCTGAGATTACAGTTTATTGTCAAACCCATTTTTAAGCTTTAGACTGTAATAGCAAACAAAAGGAAATTAAAATTAATGCTTGGATGGGTAAGAAAAAAAAAGGAGGTGATTAATTCCAATGCTAGTTTTTGCTTGTAGAGAGCCTTAATAAGAGAGTGGTAAGAAGGGAGCTTCAGTTGACTGTTTGCCCATTATTATTAAATGCTTACTTTTAAGAAGCTGGTATCTGAGTTAGTAATGGCTTCTAGATTCAGGATGTTACATCTCTTTTCTGCTTTTTTGTTTTGTATCATCATTGCAGGAGATAAAAACAGCCCATAAATTAGCCAAGAAGTATTATGTAAGCCCCCCACAGTGGGCTAAGTGTCTCTTCAGCCATAGTTACAGCCTGTGGTTTATTTGTCTGCCCGCCTACATCAGAGTTGCACATCCCAAGGTCAAAGCACTGCAGCAGGCATACGATGTTCTAATTAAAATGAGGAAAACTGATGTGGAACCACTAGATGAGGCAAGTGTGAATAAAAAAATGTTACTATGAACATGGAATATATGACAAGGTGCAAATATAGCGTGTTTCACCGCCACCACCAGGTTAAGCATATTTATAGTTTGTCCTGTTTTAAAGCCACCTTGAAATGATCTCAAAGAAGCCTGCTTAACTAGGGCAACTGGAAATTAATTTCCTTTTTCATCACCAGTGTACTGTCAGCTGAGTCAAGTATTCCAACTTAGCATTGCTAGTCTTCTCCCAGACTTCTTCAAGAAGGAAGTTCTTAAATATCCCTATTTTTAAATGCAGTTTGACTTAATGCTTTGCAGCCTTGCTGAACTGAAGAGCTAATGGGTTTGTGTGCAGCATACCATTCTTTCAGTAATATCCACAGGCACACAGCAGCAAGTTACTCTGCTTTTTGTGTGGGCGTTTCCTTCCCTCCTTTATTTTGCAAACAGAAGAGCCGAGTGGAAAAAAATTCAGCATTCTCAACAATGTGACTGCTGATGTTATTTTGGCTCATGTGATTTCCTGTTTTATTTTTGCTCCCTCTTCTGGCTGAGTGTTATGTACCGAGTAGCTGCTCTCACATGGCTTTCCCTCTTACATGTGTAAAAGTTGGAAATCAGGGAAGAGCTTAAGCTGTCTCAAAATCCTTGTCATCAGTCCACTTATGCATTTCTGTATCTTGTCAGGTCTGCTACAGAGTTGTAATGCAGCTCTGTGGACTGTGGGGTCAGCCTGTTCAGGCTGTGAGAGTCCTCTTTGAAATGAAAAATGCTGGAATACAGCCAAATGCCATCACCTACGGTTATTACAATAAGGTAAGAGAAGCCTTGATGAGGGATACTGGACTAATGTCTCTCTTGCTATTGTCACTCCCCTTGTCCTGTAGTATGTTTTGAAGATTGTTTCTTACAGCTCTTCACTTGCATTTGCTGATTCTGTTCGGCAAGCAATCATTTTGGACATGCTTGTGGGTCACTGGATCTACACTGTATGGTTTTAGACTGTTAGGTTTACATTCCTGTGCTCTTTGGCTAACCAAAAATTCTGTTGAAATATACATTTATAGTGTTTCCATTTCCAAGCTTTGGAACGTGCCTAGTGCTTCCATGTCAAAATGATCTGTTTGTAGGTGTATCCTTTAATTAGCAGGTTCCAAGATGGATGAAGGATGTAATTAGGCTAGTGGAAGTAGCCGCTGCCTCTTTTCCTTGCTTCCAAGTTCTTGTAATATGCTAATGAAACTTCTTAGTAAAGTAATAGGAAAAGAAGTACTACTATGGTCTTTTGTTGCTACTGAAGTATATAAAGAAGAACAAAACTGACCTTGTGTACTTAATCTTGATCCATTGTTCATTGTTACTCAGCTATTGTATCCAGAGCTGTGGGATAACAGGGAATAGCTCATAAAAACACAAATATTTGTCCTTCTTCATGTAATTGACAGGAAATGTGTTTTTCGAGTATGGAAAGAAAAGCTTTTCACTGTACTGTGTTTCTTAGTGTAACTTTCTTGCTGTTTTTGTTATTGCAATGTCTCTGCAGGCAGTTTTAGAGTCTCCTTGGCCTAGCAGTAACCGCAGTGGCATATTCCTGTGGACAAAGGTACGAAATGTAGTTCGTGGCACAGCACAATTTAGGCACTGCTTAAAGAAAACAACGCAGAGCCCACAAGTACCTGTGATATCAGGTAATAAATTAGTTCAAATGGATTTATTTCTGCTGAGCAAGAGCATGACATGCTTTCTGAGGGATTGCAGCTAATGTTGTGGCTTTTACAAGTGGAATAGCTTTCTTTAAATGTATAAAAATCAATAAATGCTAACCTGATGCTTCAAAGAGTCTTAGAATGTCTTTCACATACTGAAGAATTAATTGTCTGAATTCCATTGCTAGAATTTCATATTCTTGTTTTATATGTGCAAGCAAAAGTATTACTGTTGTCTGAAGAGGTTAGATTTGTTTAAAAACCTGCAAAGTTAAATCATCTCTTACTAACCAGCTCTCGTTCATGTCTTTAGCTCTGCGGAGTACCACAGGTGGAAGTGATGGGGACATGGTGAGCCATGGTAGCGTGGATAGTTCTAATGATGCTAACAGTGGGGAGCACACTCTCTTCGTCAGTGACTTAGTCAGGCTTGATTCCATTGATAATCACTCTAGCACAGGTACTAGATTCTGCTGGGTTTCACTACTAACAGTCCCCAAAAAGGCTTAATTTTCTAGTCTCTTGTTGATTTCCCCTCCACAACCATCACCTTCCCCCCTTGAGGCTGTAGAGAATGAAGCATGGAGTTAAACTATGTAAAGAAGAAATACACTGTGGTTGAATATTACTTCTTTACCGCAGATCATGCTTCTTTTTTAGTTTGGAGTGAACTGTAGCAGAAGGACTGTTATGTCAAAATAAATTTCTTGCTGTGGTCTCATGAACCTTGCTTTTTGTGCTAATATTCAGAAAAGGTATGAAGCGTCTGACATATGAGTCTGTTCAATTTTTGGATAATGTCATTTATTCATAGAAATGATAATCTGTGTGAGTAAAACCTTTCTCTGCATTAAAATGAAAGGAGTGCTAATTGCTGAGGTGATTAGAAGCTAACGCTTTAAAATGTTGCTCCTTAAAGGTAATCCAGAAAGGCCTAATTAGCATTCCTGGAATTAGTACGTTATGTTTGGCTATAGTAAACTATACTTTTAAAGGCCATATTCAAGCTTTTTAAGAGCAGTTGCTAAACATGGAAATAAATATAGAAATTATCAGAACCTTGTCATACAGTCTTTGAGACACCTGGGAATGGCAAGACAGGTGATAAGGGGAGAAAAACTCTGCCTTAAACATGGTGTGCACTCTTCCAGGCAAACTGGAGTAAAAAGAGTGCACAGGAAGTTAATCACTTGAGATGGCAAGACAAAATTCATGGTTCTTTGTATCTGCTTTAATACTGATTACACCCTACCTGTGCACAGTCTCAACTAAACTTCCTTTCTGTGTGTATCTCAAAACTTAATGTACAAATGGTTCTTGCACACTCCTCATGTTTTTAATATCTTGAGCCCTTCTGTAAAGAGAACTTTGAGTCTGATTCCTGTGCTTCATCTGATATGCCTGCCTAGATTACTGAACTTCCCTTCTCTCTGCTCTTTGTTGCTCTGCTTTTTGCTCTTTGCTGTCTCTTGGGTGCCGCATTTGTCCTTGGCTATCACGGTGTGGGGTGCAGACTTATATGATGTGAAGCCTTGGATGCACGTGTGCATTATTTCTGCCCTTGAATGTTACTTCTGCAGGTAATTCACCCATTTATTGATAGGGTGTTTTCACTTCTGTGCAAAGCAGGGATACTAACATTATTGAAATGGTAGAGAGAAAATAAGGACCAAAGAACGTCAGAACCTCCTTTTCTTTACAAAATGTTTTTAATATAGTAGCCAAATGTAATAACTGATGGCTGCTCAAACTTTAAAATTTAATTCTTTTTTACATGTTTACTTTTTACTTATTTGGTAAAATAAACAGCAGTAATATGTATTTTACATAAATTATGTCTGTCACTCAAGTTTTATGGAGCTTCCTAATACCTTTCACACTCAGTAACTTACTTTGATCTTTTTAAATACTGTCATGTATTCAAATAGCTACTCTAAAGCATATAAATAATCCTGTTTAACATGTTGCTGTGGGATATGTCCCGTATAGTATTTTTGCATATGCAGCACCACTTCAGATAAAAATAATAAAAAAAAGAGTGTCTTTCTGGATTGTTTCCTATGGCAGACTTCTCGGACTACTGTAAACTTTTTTTTTAAGAATGAGTAACAGCTCTCATGTTTAACTGGTATTTTGGAGGAACAGACTTTTAAAAATGTTTAGATTTTTACTTTTTTCTATTACATTTTATATTTTGCACTGTAGCACAAAGATGTAGCACAGTTTATGGTGCAGTTCTTTTCAGGGATGCATTGCTCAATTACTGTTGCCCTTGTCTAAATTTCTTTTGTAGATGCATTTGAGAATTTAGCTTGCCCAACAATGAAATATTTCATGCTAATGAGAAGGGAAAGGAATGAAAGGAGATACAGTGTGTTTAAAAGTAATTAGTCACTATAGTGTTTCTGGGGGAATAGCTTGTATTTAATATAGAT